AAACACGGACGGTCAGGATCGAATGCGGCGACGATTTCGGCTTCAGCATGAAGTTCCTCGCGACAACGTTGGATGGCTGCGACGTACTGCTGGGACGCGATTGGCTGCGACGGCACAACCCCGTCATCGAGTGGACAACGGGAACGTGCAGCGTCAGCAAGCACGAGGGGCTAATTACACTTCCTGCATGGACACCTGACTACATCCAAGCCCCGTGCGTCAAAGCCATCACGATAGCCCGCCACTTCAACAGAGGCGCGCAGCTGTTCGCCGTTTGTTTACGTGAGATGGCAGTCGACACCGAAGGAAAGGACATCGAGAAGCTGTGTGCAGCTGTACCTCCGGATTTAGCGGAGCTGATTCGGAAATACCCAGAAATCTTCCCCGACGACCTGCCACCTGGACTGCCACCGGAGAGACCTGAGGACCACAAAATCCAGCTGGAACCTGGAGCGCAACCAACCGTTCGAACACAGTGGCGGTTGACCCAGCCGGAACTCGAGGAGCTGCGCCGACAAATCGATGCACTGTTGGAGAAAGGATTCATTCGGGCCAGCACCTCGCCCTTCGCATCACCAATCCTGTTCACCCCAAAGAAAGACGGCAGACTTCGCATGTGCATTGACTATCGCGCGCTGAACAGGGTCACCATCAAGTCTCGCTACCCAATCCCACGCACCGACGACCTCCTCGACCAACTTCGTGGCGCTCGCTACTTCTCGAAGATTGACTTACGCGGCGGTTACCATCAAATCCGAGTCTTCGCCGATGATTGTCACAAGACGGCATTTCGCACACGCTACGGAAGTTACGAATTCACGGTGATGCCTTTTGGCCTCACGAACGCGCCCTCGACTTTTCAGCTGACCATGAACAGGGTGTTTCGGGATCTTCTAGACCGATGCGTAATCGTCTACTTGGACGATATCCTCATTTACAGCAAAACACGGGAGCAGCACCTCAGTGACCTGGACGCAGTGTTTACGCGACTGCAGGAGAACCGACTCATCACCAAAGGCTCTAAGTGCGAATTCTTTAAGCAAGAGTTGGAGTTTTTGGGGCACGTAATTTCACGCGACGGCATCAAAATCGACCCGGCGAAAATCAAGACCATACAGGAGTGGAAGTCCCCGACGAACCTCATGGAACTCCAGAGTTTCCTCGGATTAGTTGATTACGTCCGGAGGTTTATCCCGAATATGGCGGAGATAACCGGCCCACTGACCGACCTGCTGCACAAGGACAGGAATTTTGTGTGGGGGGAGGACGCAGAGGCGGCTTTCCAGGAACTCAAACATTTTCTCGTTTCCCCTCCTGTGCTGCGCATCGCCGATCCATCGAAGCCGTTCGAAGTCGTGACCGACGCCTCGGATTTCGCCATCGGGGCTGTACTTCTCCAAGATTTCGGGAACGGGCTGCAGCCGATAGCCTACGAATCACGCAAGCTGCAGGCAGCCGAACGCAACTACCCGATCCACGACAAGGAGATGCTCGCCATCATACACGCATTTAAACTGTGGCGATGCTACCTGGTGGGCGCCGACGTCACTGTTCGCACGGACCACAAATCCCTACAGTACCTGCGAGCCCAACCCAATCTCAACCCACGACAGATTCGATGGCTCGACTACATGGAGAGCCATTTCACCTACCGCATCACGTATAAAAAAGGGGCTAATAACATCGCCGACGCCCTGACGCGACCGACAGTACAATCCGCTGCAGTACTCATCACCCACTCGAACCCGCTACTTACCGAACTATTCACCCACGGCTACACGACAGACCCCTTCTTCACAACGGGCAATCATCAGCAGGCTACGACGCAGAGAGGGGACTATTACCTAAAAGCCGGAACCGACCGGATTTGGGTCCCCGCTTATCGACTGCTGCGTGAGCTCCTCATCCAGGAGATACACGATTCCAACCTTTCCGGACATTTCGGGGTTGATAAAACCCAGAAAATACTGCACCGTCAATATTACTGGCCTGATTCCTCTAACGACGTGCATCGATATGTGTCCTCATGCAGGGTGTGCCAAGCAATGAAGTCGACACGTCAGCGACCAGCTGGACTTCTGCAACCCCTCGAGCCACCCGAACGACCGTGGCAACAAGTGACAATGGATTTTGTCACGGGGATGCCAGCTGGGCCGACGGGCAACGACGCTGTCCTCGTCGTCGTTGACCGCTTCACGAAAATGGCGCACTTCGCACCATGCCGCACAACAATCACAGCCGAAGAAACTGCGCGACTTTTCATCTCGACGGTCGTGCGACTGCACGGCATCCCTTCGGCGATCATCAGCGACCGCGACCCCAAATTCACGTCTAAGTTCTGGAAGGAAACGTGGGCACAATACGGCACGAAGCTACAGTTCTCATCGGCCTACCACCCGCAGACCGACGGTCAAACCGAGCGGACCAACCAGACCATGGAGCAGTTAATTCGCACAAACTGCCCCGACCCTGCCCGCTGGGAAGACTCACTCGCCATGCTAGAATTCGCTTTCAACAATGCACCATCTAGCACGACTAATCACTCCCCGTTTTTCCTCAATTACGGGATGGACCCAGCTGTTCCCACGACAACTACACTCACCAACCCGGTTCCCCGTTCCCAGACTTTCGTGACAGAACTTCAGGAAGTCCGCGAAATGGCAGCCGATGCAATTCGCAAGGCAAATATTACGTCCCGCAAATACACCAATCTTCTCCGACGGGAGCTCATCTTGACAGCTGGGCAACTAGTCCTTCTCGACACGAAGAACCTGAACCTGCCCGGCCCTGCGAAACTTCGGCCACGATTTTGCGGCCCGTTTAAAATTCTCAAGATGGTGACACTGTCACGGCGAAGCTGTTACTCCCCGACGACTGGCGTATCCACGACGCATTCCACGTCAACCTTCTTCGGAAGTCCGTGCCTGCCACGACCGACATTGCACGTCAGCAAGCGGTCCCGACAGCTCGCCCCGTCCCGGAGCCAACCCTGGACCCTTCAAAGATCCTCGCTCATAGGGTCCGCCTTGACGCCGCTGGTCGCCATGTGGATTTCTTGATTCGCTGGACAGCTCGCACCAGTGAGGACGACACGTGGGTGCCATCCGCTTCACTGGACGCCTCGACGCTTGTTGCTGATTATTTGGCACGACGTCCTGTCTCGGCCATTGAGTACCTTTCTTAAGGAGGGGGGGTGGTGTAAGGAATTTTCCCGGATTCCTTATCGGGGTTGACTGCTTCGCGTACAACCCGATTTTCGGAGTTCGCACGTTCGGCCGATTTCAACGCTGCCAAGGCTCCTCGCGTCGCCTCCGGCTTTCTCATCGCCAAACCTGCACCCAACCCCGCTCGTCCGAGGTTCTCTCCTAGCTAGCGTAGTTCTATATTAGTCTGGGCATTCATTGTATTCGCAGTTGATTCAGTCACAGCTTCGTTATTCGTTTACCTGCGCACTCTCTTTTACAACTCATAACACAAACCCAAGGCCCGGAATGCAGCTGGCGAATCTTCGGCTTGACTGTGGGAGCCTGGTTTGGCTCGGAAAACACCAAGCTAGCATTCGCGGTTCAGATCAGAGTTTGCGAACGGGTGGTAGTGGCGAAATGGGGAGCGAGAACCACATTTCCCACGCATGTCCGGCACAAAATGATATAGTGTTGCTACACTAGGTAATGTGATTAGCTAAAGGGATCACTCACTATACATCTTATACATGGGTTTTCTACCCCAACTGTGCACCCACTACCAATTATTAGCGTTTGAGCCACCGCTTCAGAGGCGGAATTTCTGCTGCAAGCAGCACTAGCAGCTGAGAATGAGTTGGTGCGCCATGCTTTGTGTGAGTTGGTGCGCCAGGCTTTCTTCACCGCGCTTGACGACCAGAGCGGGTGATGTCCTGTGCTGGCTGTTCTTCCAGTCCTTGCTCAACCCCTCCCTTCACCTCTTATTTCTTCTCCTCTCCTCTCCCCCTCTGATTCCCGCCCCCCTCCCTCTGCCCTCCGGATCCCCTCCCCTCTTCCCCCCTCTCCTTAGCCCCACATCACATCGCTGCCGAAGCTCCACTCACAGCCAACACCCTCAAAAGCATCAGGGCTGGGCCATGCGGCACTGGACGAGGAGTTTGACTTGGTACGGCAGGCTTTCTTTACCGAACCAGGCGACCAGAGCGGGTGGGATCACGGTAGCAATGGATAATGTACGTAATGCCTTATGAGACGACTCAAAAGGGATCTCAACCAACAGCTGTCACCACACTGGCGTTGCCTTTTGCTGCGGTGACGGTATTGCCCTCACCACGCCATTTTCCAGGTGCTGCTGCTCTTGACCATTTTTCAGGCGCCTCAAAACTAGCCTCTCTTCGCTGCAGTGGCGGGATTGCATTCTCCACGGTATTGACCACGTGCCGTTGTTCCTGACCTTTGTAGGAAGCAGCACAGTATCGACTGCGTGGACAACAATAGAAGGACTGGAATACATGTTTCCGACCAAAACCTGCGCTCCCGAGGAGGAGTCTTCAGCCCTGACAATACGCAGCCGGTTGCCTGTTTGGTTCTTCTTGAGTGAAAAGTTATCGAGTGTTTCCACCTGCAAAATACGGTTTCGGAGGGCGTTGGGTGGAGGGATAAAAGTGGAGATGAGTGTATGGAGGATATGAGGAGAATTGGAAGCGATTGAATGAAGAGGCAAAGAGATGTAGCAAGCAGGGTGGGGGAAGAAGTGAGAGAAGAGCCTAAGGGAATGGTATAAGAGTCGCAACATGCAGGTGGTTAAAGGAAGGATCTAATTTTCCCAACTTACCATAGATCCATTTTCAAAGGTCTTGAGGTCACTCAGTTCCATCCGACGTGGCAGCACGTGATAGGCCATCACCTGCCAGAGAACGCCCTTCTTCCTTTGCAGTCCTCCAAAACGCACACTCTTGGGCATGCGGAAAAACGCCTCGTTGGCTGGTGCAAATATTGTAACATTGTTTGCAAGCAGTGTATTCATAAGCGTCGCATTTAAACCTGGAGATGTCGGGGCAGGTTGCAGGGTACAAGAATGCGCAGAATTGCAACAAACAGAAGGATTGTTTATAAAAAGGAGAGAAGCTGGCTTCAAACGACGAGTCAAACTGTACGTGACAAACACAATAGAAGGGTATATTATGAAACACAAGTAAGTAACTTACCACTTCTGCTGATCCCCATTGCAGCTGCCGTGAATTTCCGCTTGAACAAAAATCCCAGAACCTTGTTCACTTCAGCAATCCTAGCTTGCTGCTCCAGTGACAGGCCAGACCCAGCCACTCCGCCTGCCGCTTGGCCTCCGGAGCCTGCTGCTCCACCTCCGCCCCCTCCACTCCCTCCACTCCCTCCGCCCCCTCCACTCCCTCCTCCCCCTCCGCCCCCTCCATTCCCTCCACTCCCTCCGCCCCCTCCACTCCCTCCGCCCCCTCCACTCCCTCCTCTCCCTCCGCCCCCTCCACTCCCTCCACTCCCTCCGCTCCCATTCCCTTTCCCTGCGCCGCTCCCTGTCCCACCCCCCTTGCCTGCGCCGCTCCCCGTCCCACCCCCCTTGCCTCTGCCGCTCCCCGTCCCACCCCCCTTGCCTGCGCCGCTCCCCGTCCCACCCCCCTTGCCTGCGCCGCTCCCCGTCCCACCCCCCTTGCCTGCACTGCTCCCCGTCCCATTCCCCTTGCCTGCGCCGCTCCCCGTCCCACCCCCCTTGCCTGCGCCGCTCCCCGTCCCACCCCCCTTGCCTGCGCCGCTCCCCGTCCCACCCCCCTTGCCTGCGCCGCTCCCCGTCCCACCCCCCTTGCCTGCGCCACTCCCCGTCCCACCCCCCTTGCCTGCGCCACTCCCCGTCCCACCTCCCTTGCCTGCGCCACTCCCCGTCTCACCCCCCTTGCCTGCGCCACTCCCCGTCCCACCCCCCTTGCCTGTGCCACTCCCCGTCCCATTCCCCTTGCCTGCGCCGCTCCCCGTCCCATTCCCCTTGCCTGCGCCACTCCCCGTCCCATTCCCCTTGCCTGCGCCACTCCCCGTCCCACCCCCCTTGCCTGCGCCACTCCCCGTCCCACCCCCCTTGCCTGCGCCACTCCCCGTCCCACCCCCCTTGCCTGCACCACTCCCCGTCCCACCCCCCTTGGCTGCGCCACTCCCCGTCCCATTCCCCTTGCCTGCGCCGCTCCCCTTACCGTTCCCCCCACCCGTTCCTGTCCCTTTCCCCCCGCCCGTCCCCGTTCCCTTTCCCGCGCCCGTCCCAGTTCCTTTCCCCCCACCCCTTCCCGTCCCTGTTCCCCCACCCGTTCCCGTCCCTTTCCCCGCGCCCGTCCCCGTTCCTTTCCCCGCGCCCGTCCCCGTTCCTTTCCCCGCGCCCGTCCCTGTTCCTTTCCCCGCGCCCGTTCCCGTCCCTTTCCCCGCGCCCGTCCCCGTCCCTTTCCCCGCGCCCGTCCCCGTTCCTTTCCCCGCGCCCGCCCCTGTACCTTTCCCCGCGCCCGTTCCCGTCCCTTTCCCGGCGCCCGAACCCGTTCCTTTCCCCACTCCCGCCCTGGTTCCGTTTCCCGCGCCCGTTCCCTTTCCCTTTCCTGTGCCTTTCCCCGCCCTTGTTCCTGTTCCTTTTCCCGCGCCCGTCCCCGTACCTTTCCCCGCGCCCGTTCCCGTTCCTTTCCCTGCGCCTGTCCCCGTACCTTTCCCCACGCCCGTCCTGGTTCCATACCCTGCGCCCGCTCCCTTTCCCTTTCCCGTTCCTTTCCCCGCGCCCGTTCCCGTTCCTTTCCCTGCGCCTGTCCCCGTTCCTTTCTTCCCGCCCGTCCCCGTTCCCGGCGATACCTTCCCCTTCCCTGTTCCCGCTCCTCTACTCCCGCACCCTTCCCCGCGCCTGTCACTGCACCCTTCCCCGCGCCCGTCATTGCACCCTTCCGCGCGCCTGTCGTTACACCCTTCACTGCGCCCGCGCCTGTTCTGGCGGATTTTCCGGCTCCCGATAAAATGTGCCTTGCCGGTCGCGGCCGTCATTGCCGCCAGCTTGATTGTGCGACTGGAACCGTCGACGAAAAACGGCTTTACGGGAAGGAGGGAAACGGCACCGCCCAGCTCTGTTCCTACACCGAGGTCGGCGCTCACGCCGGACGATGTGCTTATATCGAGAGATTGTCTCCGAGCCTTCACGGTGCTCGTTCGCTTCGATGCGTCTGCCGCTGCTGCGGTGGCGGTGGCGGCGACGGCGGCGGGAAGCAACAGCGACGCGGCGACGAGGGGCAGGAGGAGCAGGAGAAGCGGAAGCAGGGCTGGCAGGGTTAGACCGCGCGGGGGTTGGGCGCAGTGGAGAGTGGTGTGGATCGAGCGTGATCTCCGGTGGCAGGTCGGAATGACGAGAGAGGGGCGTCCCCGCCGCGAATGCCGTTTGGACGCCATCGCCATCATAGCCACCATCACCTTCATTGCCTTCATCGCCTTCGTTGCCTTCATCGCCTTCATCGCCACCATTGAGCTGATGACTCGCTGAGTCCTAGTCGTTTACGGACCCCTCTTAAATGAACGGTCGAACCTGAAATCTGTAGGCGTTGTGACTTCGTGTGATCACAACCTGGCGAGGCTGAGGCTCGAACCGCACTGCGACTACCACTAGAACCAGAGCGCGTCGAGAAAACTTGGTCTACGCGAACGCTGTCATAGCTCGGAGTTTGAAGTCCGAGGTAGCGCAAAGGTTCGAATTGAGCTAGTAACACCCTTCGTGCTGCCGCGAGGAGATATGCCGAATCACCGACCATCGTGATACGTGCGGCAAGCATCATGGACGCTCGGTTCTACTAGCGACTCGGTCTCGGTATCAAGGGGTTCTACTAGCGGCTCGGCTTGGTTATCCAGAGGTTTTGTTTGGAAAGCTGTAAAAGGGACAGGACGCAAGAGTGGTCTCTAAGAGGCAACGACACTGCGCGCCGTGAAGAATGGGTGCTGCTGCTACATGGAGCAAGCATGGGGAGGAAATGACGAACCGCGGTGCTTGCTCGTCTCCAATTCCAACGGGCAGTGGTTTTCCCACTACCCCCCCCACGCGACCGCGCCCGATTCCCGCGGTCAGTTTTCCCCATTAAAAATGACTTCGTGGTTTTTTACGAGTTTTGAAATGGCCGATGGTTTCTGCCCGTGGCGACTATTCCAACTGAACTTCGCGACCCATCATTACGCCGCCCAGGATACTTTCGGAACAGTATGGGCCAATGATTACAAGTACATTCTATCCTTCGATCACGGAATCACCATAAATTTTAAATGGGCCCTCAATTTTCCCGCCACTCATGTTCGACGCGTGGTCAGTGAATCACACGTGAAACACTTCAAACTTTCCACACCGAACAATTTCGCGCGCGCAGCCAATTCACCGCCAGAAATTACAATCACGCCACCGTCGTTTCCCCAGAGAGGTCTCACAAAGGGCCCGTGAAGCACTACTGGATGTCCATATCGCGCCCCACCTTTCCTCCCCGAAGTAACTGCTGTTCAGTCATCAACGTACACTGGTGTTAACACGGTACCATCGTCAAGAGCATGTTACTGGGTAGGTGTTGACGTATGCCTTGCCAGTACCGACCATTGGCATTAGATGTGACGATTTACTCCAACACCCAGCAAGAACCATGTCATTACCACCTCATAGCCCCGAGCGTATAGCGAATAGTATTTTAGAGGCAATGCGAAACGTCCCCCCCGTTCCGGAAGCACAACCAAAAGCCCCTAGAGATAATGCCCCACTGACACAAGGTGCAATATACTCCTCGAGGGGTGCGGCACTAAAGGCGGTGCAAGCCTTCGCGTTGCGGCACCGTTTTGGATTCGGGACTGTCGAGGTGGCGGATGCCCACGTGATACTCCAATGCAGAACCGCCATGCATGGAGTACTACCCATCTGCCCTTGGGAATGCAGTTACAGTAAGGTTGTACATGGCGGATTCTGGGAAGTGACGTCGCTTTCCCCCCCTGAAGCTCACATCTGCAGCAAGTACAAGCGAGAGCAAGGAGCAAACGCCATCGCCAACAGCATCAAGGTTATGAAGCGGCAATGGGGCAACCTTGTTCGTGGCGCACCTTTCATTTCTGCGAAAACCTTGCAGCAGATTCTCTCGTCACACAGCAAGTTTGTCATCAGTTACAAGCAGGCGTGGCGGCTCCGTGAGGCAATCCAGAAGGAAATGTACGGCGATTGGCAGGAGTCGTTCAGGTTGCTCCCGGAGTTGGCTCGCAGGTTCGAGCAGAACGATCCTGGTGGAATGTTCAAGATTCAGACGGTCGACGGATGCTTCCACCGGATGTACATTCAGCCGTCCGCATCTCGCGGTGCGCTTGGTTTTTGCCGGCCCGTTGTTCCACTAGACGGGACCATCCTAATCAGTGCTCAACGCGCAACCCTGCTCATTGCCGTGGCACTTGACGCCAACCAGAAGATTCTGATGCTGGCGTGGGCTCTGGTCGAAGGAGAGAACAAAGACTCGTGGTCCTGGTTCCTGCAACACTTTATGGTGAGCTTCCCGGAGTGGCCGCACCGTGACGATGCATCGATTATCAGCGATCGCGACAAGGGCCTGATTCCTGGTGCACGAGATGTACTCCCGGCTGGCATACCTCATTACTTTTGTGCTTGGCATCTCCACCAGAATGTTGTGAAGTTTGGAGAGGCTGCGGCTCTTTTTTTTTGGCGTCTTGTGAAGTGCAGGGACGACGACAAATGGGACGCATTGGTTTCAGCCGGCCGCCGTGACTTCAAGGAAATGATGACCTATCTCCTCGGCGACGAGAAGCCTATCTCGGGTCCAGCTCCGGCAGATGCTGCACAGCAGCAACGTCCCGCCCCCACCACAGCGGCTGAAGCACGTCAACAAGCTGCACAGAACCGTCGTCAGGGTCGTGAAGCAGCGCGTTCCGCCAGGGGTTTAGGGACCACATCACGTGCGCGTGGCCGTGGGGCGGGTGACGCGAGCGGGCCGGGAGCCACACCTCCCGAACCAGGGCATGCACCTACCGCAGGCAGTTCTGCCCTGACGGCTCCGCCGCCAGACCCCCCGGCCACAAACGAGCCGCCCAGTCGTCCCTTGGGCTCGACACCTGCGGCTTCACGTCCATTCGACTATAATCGCATCCTGCGACGCGTAAGGACAGGTTACATCCCCAGCAGCATCAGGACGGACCCGCCACGTGCATCAGCATCAAGCGGAAACTCGGGCCAGGGGGGAGACGAGCATGGTGGGGGAAATACCTGCCAGGCACTGGTCGTTGTCAGTCTGGATCACCCGTGGCCCGATGTCGGTAGTGGCAACCCCCGTGTGAGGGTTGAAGCCGACTTTGAGGAGGACGACGTGGAGGAGGCAGAGGAGGCGGATGCAGAACAAGCGGGGTACGAGGAAGAAGCTGGGCATCAACCTCGTCCACTGGACTCGCATTAAGGCCCCAACCCGTCGCTTTGGGATCTTTACGAGCAACGCCGCAGAGCAGGTCAACAGCTCAATCGTGCCCATTCGTCGCTTGCCGGTCTGCCCTCTGCTCGGGGGTCTCTGGGACTGGTATCGTAATAGGTATTGTGAACGCAAAATGGCTGCGCGTGAGAGAACTGCTCTACTCACCGAAGCTGCAGAGGAGCGGATGGTAGAGAAGGAGACCCGGGCGGAGGGGTACGAGCTACTGGGCGGGGATCTTGAGGAAGGAACCATCCAGACCAGGGACACCGACGATCCCAAGGAATGGAGGTCCTTCAACGTCAACATCAACAGCGAAGTGAGGACATGCGACTGCTCGAACTGGGACCAGTACCAGTTTCCTTGCTCCCATGCCGTGGCCTTTGCTCTGAAGCGAAAGCTTGACCCGCGCAGCCTCGTCTCTGACTACTACACCACGAAGAACTGGGCGGAGACTTATTCTTCAACGGTGCGGGGTTCCTGTGTGGACCGCATCGTCCTTGGGAGGAAACTGGCCCCAACAGGCCAGTGCGATGCTCCACCCTTTCGGCGCACGGCTGCCGGCCGCCCGCCGAGCTACGCTCACGTCGAGAAGGCTGTGCATCCGTACAAGTGCAGCGTTTGCCGTCTCCACGGTCACACAAAGAACCGCTGCATGGGCAAGTATGGTGGGAGCGCATACCCGGAGAGGAGGAGGTTCCGTAACCGCCCTAAGGCCCGTAAATCCTATCGCGAGTCGGCACCTTTTGCGGGCACTATTTGAGAAATGTGGGGATTCACGGTATATTGTAGTCTCTACATGGGTTAGTGGCAGCGCAATGGCTGGGGGCAAGTATTAAGAATACTGCGCTGGTTTAGGTGATGAGGTCGTCGGACCTGGATCAGGACTTCAATAGTATATAGTAGTCGGTTTAGTGTAGGCCACATTGTCACCTTAGCATCACGAAACAATGTGCACATTACTGATCGGAGGTTAAGCAAAGCCCTGCTTGCATTGGGACAACATTGCCCATGACTCATTCACCGTCGGCAAGTCACACTCTAGTGAAGGATGACCAGAAGTGTAGTAAATGAGTGCTGGGGGCCTAGTGATACCCCCGTGAAATCTTCACCCAGTACCGTCCATTTACTTCGCCACGCCATCGCGACTGAATGGTCAACAATCAGTCAGTATTTTTAAAAGTGTTTGATGTGGTCTCCACAATTTACGGAGCGACGTCTGATGGCGCAGTCTTCGGAGGCGGCTCTGACACTACATTGCTCGTGAATCGCTAGTTGATGGCCCGCGAACAAGGTATGAGAACTTCGTGAAGGTCCGGTTCCTAGTTCCCGTTAGAAACCCGTCAAGAACCCGTCAACCCTCAGTGAAATATATGCTAAAGGCCAGCACAGCCGGGAGTCAACCATCCGTGGCTCGTGGTTTCTTATTGGTGAGCATCTCGTCAGCCCCTCACCCAAACCCTATCACTCCTCACGAGCTCGGCTGGTGGGTTGCGCGGAAGACGTTTCATTACCGTACGGCTATTCACCCTTTTCATGTTCATATCCGTGTGTATATCTGGTTTGCCCCTAGGCATGTCGCTGTCACGGAAGGAGTTAGGTTATGTCCCGATTTTTCATTTAAGTGGAATGTGAAGGAATTGGCTATGTCTCCTCGAGGAATTTGACCATCACGCGTGAAACTCACACTTTGTGATTATTACGCACTTTGGATTCTGTCATAAGATTACTATAGTAATCTTGTAACATCTATGTCGGGGAGGCTACTTAACGGAAACCGCGTCTGGCAGCTAGCGTGATCTAAGTGGGATTTTACCGGGTATTCACACGTGTTTGTGGTGTGTTTTAAGTGACTATCGCGTGAGGAACTCACCGAATCTGCTCCAACTGCGTGCGAAAGAACCATCAATCGCCAGTGATCCAATAGTGAAATCCATGTGAGAAATTCACTTGAGGGCCACTCTCGTCCTAAAAACGTTGCAGCTACTATGAATACACCAACACTTGTCCTCGAATACAGTACAATGACCAGGACAAATTAATAAGCGCTTGTAAGAAATATGTGAAGCATGACCCTTTGTCCCAACGACTTTTTTATGCGTGCGCGGACGCCAAGGCAGTATTCCTTGTCATTACTGCACAACAACATCCTTCGCGTATTACCAGAAGTAACATACAATGGAAGAAAACCTTGGTTGTTATGAGCCACTGATCCCATGCGCCACCAAACACAACAGAGGTTTGGCACCAAAAGCACGGTTATCGATCCCTGGTGCCATCGGCCAGAGCACCAGGGATTGATGACGTCCCTCTGGCTACTCTTGGGACTGTCTCCTTCGCTTTGACTTACGCTGGGGACGCGACTGTGACGAGGGATCCGACTCCCCCGACACCGTATCTGCTGCTCTCCGTCCCTCCATCTTAGTTTGGCATTCAGGCCAAGCCTCCCTCCAATTCTCCCACCTGTGCCATAACTTGTTGCGGATCATAGCCAGGCAGGTGTCCTTAGGACAGTCATTCAACCGGTTCGTATCTTCAGGCGACAGGCCTATCACGAGCCCTCGGGGTCCATTGTGCGGCCCAAATAGCACATGTGATCCGGCAGCAAGTGCTCTCGCCGCCTCTTCCTCACTTGAAAACTGGCTGCCAATAACTACGTGCCCGTCCTTCTCCCGATCGCACACTAGTCTAGCAACCCATCTCCCATTCCAGGGCCTTTGGGTAATACCCACGAATCTCCCCTTGATCTCCTTGCGCTTCTTTCCCGAAGACTCCTTCGCATCCTTCTGCCGTGTCACAGAGCCACCTCGGATGACTTCACCACGGTCTACCACAACCGTCGTCGCGTCATGCAAGCGGGCTGAACCGCCCGGGTTCTGTAGCGCTGACATCGCTGAGGCCATGTTGTCGCATATGTATTGTGTCTTCACAACCAACTGCTTTACTGCATCCGTGCAGCCTTCTATATCGGATATGCGACTCGCGTGACTGCGTAATTCATCGGCCATGGTTCTCATCGCCGAAATGCTGTCCAAGTTGGGCTGCACCGTGTGGATGGGCTCATTTCGCGGGGCCTGCTGGTCAAGTGGCGGTAATGACACAGTTCTGTTCTGCAACTTCACGCCAAGCGTTAGCTCTCCAGCATCACACATCAAGGATCGAATGGCGCGCCGATAGGTCAGAATGCTGTACGAGGGTGATGGGATGCCAAGCTCGAGTTTACTGAATGACCGGGCGACGAGTACAGACATGAAATAGCACACGAAGACGCCCGAGTCAACGCCGTTATCCTGTTGTGGTACTTGGCTAGCCTGCACATGTACACCAAACACAGGGTGTCAATATACCCATGGGTGGTCCAAATGAGGCAGGCATGCCTGATCCATTGGTCACTCGTTTGCAACATGACGGTTCACTTACGAGCAGTGCCCGGCTGCGGATTCGTCGGAGACGATTGGTCACCTCGGTCGCACTGAGCCCGGGCCTCGCCTGTGTCAGCGCTGCTCCCAATAGCCTGCAGTCACGTGCACGGTAATAGGTTGATTCATGGTCTTTTAATTCTGTATGTGTCCCCATTTCAAACGACGCGCAATGGTGGACTAGTGGTATTAGGTGGTCCGGACTCACCAGTTGATGTGTCGGAAGACACTTCTTGACATCGCGGCGTTATAGCGAGTGGAGTCGAAGAGCACAACCTGCGGACCCTCAGCGCCCAGCACTCCAAGCTCTTCGTCTGTCTTCAACAGCAACCCAGGGTCCTTGACGACGACCAGGCTTGCCTGTTTGGGACCTGGGATCCTGAGACACCTGGTCAAGCCACAGAATCATGTGAATACATAGGTTCAGTCATGACCCATGAATGCAAACGCACCGCTACTTACTGGGTTGATACCACTATGCATACGTAGTCGAATTTGAACAGGGACTCGCTGCTGATTCCGCAATCGAGATGCTCGTTAACCGCCGATCGGTACGCTGAACACGACAGTGCAACCCACGTTCTCCCCGTGGGTAGTTGCGGGTAGAGTACACTGAGAACGCTGCACAAAGTTGGAAAAATACATTAGCCCCTCCTTATTATGCAAACACATCCGTACGGAAGCGCGTAGAGTACTCACACGCTGTGGAAGTCAATGGTACTAGCCGGAATCTCCACACCGTCTCGTATGCCAAGAACATCGACCATCTGCACCGTAGCTCTCTGCCCAATATGATTCGTGATCGATGGCGTTGGAAAGTGCTCGCTAGTCATAGTCGGCTGAATTACTACGCTACCATCTGACGGCCCAGGCACGGATTTTGCGAAATGGGACACGACGTCGTCAGGTTCGGGCAGCCTCACCTCCACGTCTACCGTTACGGGGACCTCAAATGTAAGTACACGCGAGCACGACTTCGCAGACGCGACGACATCACGTATGGCCCCACTCAACCGAGGGCTTTTCCGTGAAGCCATGTCACGGTTCAATGGGGAGATGTTATTAGCGAGAACAACCACTAACTGCTTATGTTATAGCCCTTGGCCTCGTTACTCTACTACTGGTGGTGTGGATGTGAGAGGAGAAAGATTCGCGAACCTCTGGTGGGATAAATGACGGGACGTTCACCACATACTTGTGAAGTGACAGCGACACACGATAGTAGGTGCAGTAACGTTACAATAATAGATGTCAATCCCCATCACGAGGGATTGACGAGGTCATTTTTCAGAACTGCTTCTGTCGCTATACGCGACATTAGTGGGTACTTGCGTTCAGATTAATGATGCGAGTAAATAATTATGCATTCTCACATAACGACAAGGAAGAAGGTTCTTTCACTCTCGCATAATATTAGTTTTCCTGATCGGAGAAAAAATGAGTGTACTTACGAGAAAAAAAAATAATCTTTGATGTCCACAGTTACTCGCTGCTAAGCGATGCAAGATGTAACGCTATTGGCTGCAATGTATTAGACAACGCGACACCCGGCAAATACAGGTGATAGGTTGTAGACAGGAACAGTTATCATAACTGCAAAATTTAGGTCACTACATGTTAGATAGCCTACGCGATCCTGCGTTGATGTCTTTGATACAATAGCCTAATCTGAAGATAGGGGTGTGGTTGGATGCTAACTTAGGGGTATCTTATTTACAATGTTTCCCATCATACACAAACATCGGCCCCTAGGTAAAATTGTTTCCGACCCCTAGGTTGACGTATGTCGACGGTTCATGCGTTGTAAGATAGGTATGGGAGGCGGTTACAAGGTCTGCAATACTGATCCATGAGACAAGTCAGCACTCATCGTTGGGTCAATCCCTTACCGATCGTAACAAAGAACGTTACTAGTCGATAGAGCCTTTTGCTCATTATTGTGCAAGGCGAGGGTAACTGTGATTTACCTATGTAGCATGCACTTGGATGGCTATGTGCTGGCCCATGTGGTTGATCCAAAACGTTGCAAGACTAATTTTGAATGTACCTATTTAGCGCGTTGAGATTATTAAACACACCAATTTTTATTCCCTGATACGTAAATGATGTTTCGAGTTGATGAATATAGAAACCCTGCATGGTATTGTTGGAGCTGGGCCTTCAGAGTCGTTGGCGATTATCACGTGATGCCTAAAGCGAATAAGCAACGGCTGCAAATAACATCGTGGGCACAACTTTGTGACGAATCAACAATGGTGATTGTGAGGCGAAACAGTCACGATGCATCCACTTCACGATCGCCCTGGATGGCACTCCTGCGTAGTGGAATATTGGTGAGCATCTC